TTGGTTAATTATTTATTTCAATAAATCTAATTTTTTATTTTAATAAGATTGATATGTATTGATATGTGTGCATCGATTCCAATAAAAAATCCGCAATTAGTGATGATCATTAGTGACCCTACCTATAGGCCGTTGTACACCCTATCTACTCATGCACCAGTTGTATTCCGAGCAAAAAAATAAGAAAGCTTGCACTTAACATGTATATTGAATATAAGTCAATAAATCTTATCATTTATATGAGCTAAATCGAAATTTACAATTATGTTTATTTATTATGTTTGTTTAAATTATCCCTCTCCCCCCCGTGTCTGAGCCCAAAATATTGACGTTAAACTAATAATCAACTTTGAATGACCATAAGCTTTTTATAACAATTTGATTAAAGGCTTAAAGAGAGGATCATTACAACTTTTACTGTTTCTCGCGCATGTTCACTAATCTCACACATCCTTATTTTTACTGTTCAGGTTTATTTTTCCTATACTTAATTCCTTCGTGAACCTTCTTTGCGTTGTTATTGCTAGAACCTTCCAGCATGAACGTCCAAGCCTCGTAGATCGCACGCGTAATTTTACCTTTCGGAATTCATGATCGCTAACCGGTTTCGAAGATCGGTTGATTATTCCGCAGTATTTTAGGAAATATCACTTTTATCCCGTGACATTATCATTGTTGCTTAATTAGTCATACCCCCCTAAAAAAGATGGTCTAGATCTTTTTTTTTTCATTGCAATGACAAACTTACCTGACCGTCCAAATTGTGTTCTGCTAATTAAAAATTCCTAAATAAGTGTAGCTTAAAATTTGCTCAACAAAAAAAGTTTTCATGAAGTTTTACCATAGCTATAGCTCTTTAAACAAACCATAACTTTACTAATGAAATTATGCCCCGCTCATTAAGTAAAGCTGCTCAGCTGATAATTTTGGCTCAGAAATGGTTGACTTGTATTGCTAAATGCTGGTCTAAATCTGATGGATCTGCCCAGCAATTTGGTAAAAAATGCATAAAAACATGCATGCAAATATAAACATCGTAAGATGAAGTCAGTTGCACAGAATCTGCGGCTCCACTTAACTTGCTATTAAATCATTCCGATACTATACGTACTTCATTACACTCAGTTCCTGGTATATTGAAAAGCCAAAACAATAAATAGTAAGGTTTTGTATTTATATAACTTGATGACCGGACAAGGAAATTAAATCTATCATTTTCAAGGTCAATGACATTATAGAATAGCATTTTTGAGTCATACTTATTCATAATGTCGAATTACAAAGATTCATACAGTGAACATTATATGTACGAATATAGAATATCACATGAAATTTGCATTGTTTCTAATACTAAGCATTGCCTGTAATTAGATACACAAATATGGAAAATCAAGAGGTCGCAATTTTTTGGTAAGCTTTTTTAGTATTATAGTGCTGCACAAAGCCACAAGTATATTTTATCCAATTAGATGCTCAGAACCCGCGACTCCACTTAACTCTCCTACCAACCATACTCTACATACTTCCTGTACTCTACATACTTTGTATTCCATACTTGGTATAAATTTTATGAAAGGCATTCAAGTTTTAAACCTATTATAGGGGACACCTTCGGAAAAGTTTCCAGAAATACATTTTGGGATTGCATTAGCCACATGATCAGCCAAATTAAATTGTAATTTTGGTTAAAATCAGATAACACATGACTAGTGTAACTCCACAATGTTTTAGGTGTTCAGATCAATTAGTGATCAACCTAGCAACCAAAATATACGAGGATATACAGAAGATGAATTTGAATTGAATCCTTTAAAGAAATGCAAGAAAACTCTATGATATATATGGATTTTTTTATTTTAGTTTCTATATTTAAATGAATATACATTGATATTATCATAATTATTGTTTTGGCTTTTGATTATCTTTGAAAATTTTCAAGGCAAAAAAGACTTGAAAGAATTGAATCAAACTTCATACCCATTTAAAAAATGTAGATAAATTAAGGATTTCAAGCAAGCAAAAAAAAAATAATCTAAAATCATTAAATTAGAAAATTTTATTTATATAATTGCTGAACTGATTTCACATAATCATTTTGTTATGCTAATACTAAATAGGATACAAGGATAGCGATAAAGAAATTAAATAACAATGCGAAAGAAATAAGAATAAGAGAAATAGGAAAGAGTCAAAAATAAAGTCTTAAAACTATGTCATTACCAAAATTATCAATCACGATTTTCAAAAATCAATCCAGATTTAGGCGGGAAAACAAAAGAAGACACTATTCTATGGGGAGCAACTTTACCACTCTCAGTTTTGATATTATATTTTAAAATCAACTTATGAATAAATATCTTGATGTTTAAAATAGCAAAAAATCTACCGGGACATGCATGTTTACCGTCTCCAAAGGTTAGATTAAATTTATTAATTTTTGTAACTGGTGAGTAAATAATTTTGCCATCAGAATATGAAGTTATATGCCGCTTTGGCTGAAAGTCATTCGATGTTTCTCCAAATAATTTATTACTGAAAGCCGCATCTTTAAAACAGAGATAGACTTCGCGACCTATATAATTAATAGTTATTAAATAGTAAATTCATATAAAATATAAAATAAATTATTAATAAAAAGAAATATACCTTTGGGTATCGTAGCCCCATTACTAAATGTATATGAATCATGAGTCATAATATGTGGTAATGTAGCTAATTTTTGAATAAAAAATTAATATTTGATGTATGTAATAGAATTTAAAAAACGATAAAGCGTAATTACCTATATCTGAAGAATGTCTAAATGATTCTTTAATAAAACAATCCAATTTGGCCATTTTATTAGCATCTTTAACGCTTAAATTACCGTTCGATTCATTATGGATCTTTAATTGTTCATCGTAGATTTCATTCCACAATTCTGGTCTTCCAGCATAATCTAATTTAATTGATTAAATATTAGGTTAAAGCTATCAAAAAAATAAAATAAAATAAATCAAAATAAATAAATGAAAGCTACCAAAAAGAACAAATGAAAGAGCTTTAGCAGTTGTAGTAATCGAAGCAAAAACTAGCGAATAAAATTGTCCAAATAAATTATCCATATATTCATCGTCCACAACATCGATTTTAAATTCTGGTTCGCTTAAAAGGAAATCAAGTACATCTTCCTATTAATTAAAAAGCCATTCATTAAACGAAATTTCTCTTCATTAATGTGGTCAAATTTGTAAAAAAGGAGATCATACTTTTTGAATATAGTTATTACCAAGCTTTTTTCTTTGGTGGATGCGTTCTTCAACAATTGGCTTACAACGCCGGAAGAAAATATCTCTGTGTCGAGGGATTGGATTTAATCCAAATTTTATGAGTAACCTTTTTAAAAAAAGTTTTTTTTTATATACGTAAATTATTTTATAGTAAAAGAGTAGTTGCCGATCATATATGACAATTGGCGTTCGCCCACTTCACTAACCGGCAACAATTATTTAACTAATATCACATAGGACGACAATTTATCCTTTATTAGCTGCAAATATATATTGTTAATAAATTGTCATCCTATGTAATGTCGGTTAAATGTCAGGAGACTAATAATGTACGTACATGATAAGCTTTGTATGAAGCGAATGATGAATAAACGATAAAATTGGAGGAACAAGACTCATATTTACAAGATCACTTTCTACTTTTGCAAATGAGTCTATAATATCATCAAATTGTGCAGCTTCCTGTACGATAAAATATCAATTAATATTACTATAATAAAACGAAAATTATTAGAAAACTTACTTCACCAAGAGTAACATTAGCAACAGTCTTTGCAACTATTTGTGACGACAATCTACTAATATCTCTTATAACCTTTTGATCTAGGATTCATTCATTTATTTTAGATGATGAATCTCAAATAAAATAAAGATATAAAAAGATATACCTTTACAATCTCCAAAATATTTTTTAATCCCGAATAAAAGTTCTTTCTGAATTCTTGGCGCATATAAATTAATTTTACCACTCATCATTTCATGAACTATTCGAACGATAAATCCGTTCGACTGAAATTTTTTGTATCGGCTAAAGACATAACTTGCTGGAAATAGCTGTAATAATAGGAATGAAATAGAGGACATGAATGAATATTTATCATTATATTATAAATTTTAATTTAGAAGCGAATTGTGTATGTATATCGTGACTGAAAGTGCCACGTGCTAATTTAGTTAACCGAAGTTACGCATGCCAAAATTAAAGTCACAGAGTATACATATTTTTTGACAGCGTCAACGAAAAATCATGCCTTCTTGTTTCGTTATTTTGAGATATGTAACTTAAAAAAAGGGCTAATAATTACTCAATCGATTGCGTCAATAATATTATTTTAAAAATCCTTGACTAAATTAATTATTAGTTGTCATTAAATTTTATGTTTAAAATGACACTCCAGGGTGTTATCCCCCTTGCGAATTAAATATAGTATAGATTGCCCCGGTGTTTCTATGTTTCTGGAAATTTTGTCGGGTCAACTGTGGTACAAGCAAACTCTCCCAGAAATACATTTAAATATACTATATTTGACCTGGAAAAGTCCCAGAAACGCAGAAACACCGGGTAACATATACATATTTAATCTGTTCGTGCAATATGGTAATTATATACATACCCTCTCTATTCCCTTATAAAAATCAAAAATGTCAGCATTCCTTAGAATTTCATGACAAGTTTCACGCCCTGCAAAAGTTATCACACTTCCAAAGACATATAAGCTAAATGGATCACCATACTTTATGAAAAAAAAGCCAATAATATTAGAAAATCATCCAATTAAAAGAGTATATAAAATAGATAATAGTAATTTACCTTTTCCCTACATTTTCGCAAAAAATTTTCAGCATCAAATATATAACGATGTGTATGTCCAATAATTGGAATTCGGTATGGTACTAATGGTGGTTCATTCTATCAAAATGAAATTTCGTTATTAAAAAAGAAACAATTACTACATAAAATGAAATTAAACTCACCACACCAATTTTGGGCCGCTTAACCAAATTTAATATAAGCGTAGCAAAAAGCAATAAAAAAGAAATATCAACGTAATCCATTTTTTTTTTGTGAAGAAAAATGTGTATGCTTGACGATAAAATGTAGGTGTATATATAATTATGGACTGGTTTCTGTTCAAAAATTGAAAATTGTTCTGACTAAGTATTCAAACACTAAATTAATATTTTGGTCTTTCTCATAGCTTTATTGGTCATAGGAACTGCAAAAAATTGTAGAAATAAAAATTAATAAATATTAGTTATTTTTCAGATTTTTCCTTGCGACATCATTTCACTACCTCTCGCGTTAGGATTAAGGACCATGTAAGTGCTACCAACGGAAACTGATTCAGTATTTTTCAACGGACTATTACGGGATCAGTTTAGCATGTATAATTAACCGCATACACCGACTAAAATAACTAGTCATTTTCTTAATCATGAGCCAGGTCCAGAGTGTCCAGCTATTCGTAGCTAAGGATGTTAAAATGATCTTCTGATCTTTATGACCGATCATGCATGTGATAATTCTATATGAGTGAAAATCCGGAAATACATTTAATGATTTATTATGATTGGTTACGGGTTTTTAGCCATACATAGGTTCCGGTTTAACTATAGTTGTTGGTAGAATTACTGAATTACGACATTACGGCATTTTACCACGTGGTAGAATTAATTACGGCATAACATCTTAATTGCCATAAAACTTTTGTGCCGTAATGCCGCAATGCCGTAATGCCGTAATGCCGTAATGCCGCAATGCCGCAATGTCGTAATGCCGTAATATCCTAATTAGATATTGAATTGGTATAAATTTAATGTGTTGGATTATAATTCACGTCATTTCTAATTAATAAAGTCATTGCTTGTAATAGATAGTCATGTAGTTCAAGTATTTTAATTAATATATTTAATCTGTTCTTTCTTAACAAAGGTTTTTTGGTAAACATATATCTATATATTAAAATTCTTCGTATTATTAAAATAATTGAGGTGTATATAAACAATTTTTTAAATTTTGGTACTTATTTGCTACGAAGATATTCGGATATCCGTGTAACATCGACCATGAGAATCTGACCATTCGATCTGCGATTCAACGTTGTCACATGGCTTCACAGACCGAAAGGCAGGGGTGACGTTTATGTTATTCAATATATGTATAGCATTTACTTAAACATTCATAATTTAGTTTTTTATTTAAATAAATGCTTTAAGTAAATACTGATTCTAAATGCTATACATATATTGAATGACATAATACGTCATCTCTGCCTTCGATCTGAGACTCAACTTTATCCTATGACTTCACGGACATTTATCGGGAGACTTGAAGAACAAGGAACCCAGTGATCGTCACATCACGTGAAATCATGTGATTACGTCATTTGTTTACTAGCACTAAACAAATTAGCCTAAACTATACTATCGCCTAACCCTAACACTAACCATAACGTAAACGACCCTAGCGTCGCCCATAAAAAAATTTAGCTGACGTCATTGTAAAATCATATGATGGCTTTAAATTTCTGAATTAAGCATATCAATATGTTGAAATAGCAAGTAACTACGTAGCATTTATATACATACACATATTTTAATTGCATATATTGTACATATTTCTTAATAATAATTTTTTGCATTAGCTTTAAGTAATAAATTCAAAACTATATACTATATATTATACATTTAAACGATATACAATATATAAAAAAAATCTGGTATTAAAAAAAATTACATATTCCAATATATCGTATTTTGGTTCAAATATCTTTGAGTCCTATGTTCTTCAAATTTTTTAATATCTTCGATTATACTTTCTAATGGTTTGAAATTAGAGCAAACTGATTTTAACCAAAGTTCACTGTTTAGTTTACTTTGTGATAGAGTAAGAAGTGTCTTGCTCTAATAAATATATATAATAATAATTATTAATAGCTCTATAGTACATTAAGTGTAATATATTTTACCTGATCAAGAACTTCGTATAAATGATTTAAAATACTATTTGAACTTCTTTCATCATTTTCAATTATAAGTTATTATCACTGTCAAATAAAAAATCATTATCATTGGTTTCAATTGAATCATAGTAAATCAAAATATTAGAATTAGTTTTATTCAAAAAATTAAAAACATTATTTTTATTTGTATTTATTTTAATAATTAGATAGTCACTGTTTCTTTGTATCAATATAAACAAATAGGGTTAAATATATATATATAATGTACAATTATCACATTATACTAATTATGAATTACTTCCTTTTTAAAAAAAGTATCATTGATTTTATCAATACTACTAACTAAATATTTACACAGAAAAAATCAACTTTAAAGATATGAAAAACAGAAACATGTCCAGTTGTTTATATTTGTTTTATATTTATTTTTGTTGTTAATATTTATACTTTTTTTTTTATGTCTTTGCCATTCTTTTTTAAATCCTTTTCTCCATAGAACTGTATAATGCCCTTTTTGTAATAAATGAATTTGATAAAGTTGTTGATTAATAACTTTTAAAATAAGAATATAACACAAATGATAAATACGTGGTTAGTGAAATTTGTATAAATAATCATGCTTCAAATGTTGCCAATGTGATTCTACAATTATTATAGTCTTGATATGACTAATTATATTATTTACAGCTCTTGTCCATAAAATCCATTTATTATATGAATACCATTCCGACCATAAATATAGCCAGAGATTAAATAAATTATGATCACGACAAATTAATTTATTTCTAACACAGATTCTTCCTAAATAAGTTTTGAGTTTATAATAAATTTACTATTTGGTTTTGGTAACAACATATGACGATTATAATACTGATCAACAAGATTCAAAATTATTTTTCGAAGTTCTAAAGGACAAATAATATTTGGGTTATTATTAACTTGAGGATTCTATTCCAAATCAATTTCAGAACATTCTTGATATGCAATATAAGAATTATAATTATAATTTCGAATTTTATTATTTGATGTTAATCTTTGCTTAATTGCTTGATATACATGCTATGTACATATTTGTAAATGAGATTCTAGCCAAACAAAGTGAATAGCATTTATTTCAACCATTGCTTTATCAACAAAAACAAATAGAAAATTAATTAATTGTCAGTTTTTTAATTCTTTTATCCAACTAATAAGTATTCCAGTAATATCTCGATTTTTGCTAACTTCAATTAAGAGATAACTTAAAGGAAATCCTATTCCATCAAGTACACCCATTATTACATATAATTCCCACTTAATATAGTTTGTATCATAAGTTAAATCAATTTCAATAGCATCAAGATTATTACACAGAAGTATTTGAAAAAGTGATGTTATAAAACCAAGTATGCCAATAGGATTTACTATATTAATAATAATCTCTTGTTCAAATTTATTTAATAATATATGTGCTGATTTTAATAGATCTAAATTACGCTGATAAATTTTTAGTGACTCAAGAGACCACCAATAATAGACTTGCTAGATACTTAAATTATTATAACCATTAAGCTTTTTCTCATATATTTGCCACCAAAGTTCAGGAACTAAGTAGTTTATATTTTAACAAGTAAATTCATATATTTCTTGAGTTGTTTGAACATGTATAGGACATAAATGTAAAATCAAATGTAAATAATCAACTTTAATCAAATTGTTATTTATTAATATTTTGATATTTATAAACCCTTTACAGTCATATCGTTCAAGCTGTGCAGAAGTATCTCTTTGCTTATTAATATCTGAAACTTTTGATCTATGCTTTCCAAGTTTGATTCTACAATTGCACCAATAAATTAAATTTAAATGATCAGCCAAATTTTGACTTGTAAATCCAACTATAGCTGTCTCCTTTTTCTATAAGAAATATTATTTGATCACCCAATTCTTTAAGTTGTTTAGGTGTATAATCTTTTATTAACTCATTATTATTTTGTAACAGTTGAATGTCAAAATTAATATAAAGCTCTAATGAATCACTTTTGTATTGCTCATTAGTTCCTTCTAAAGATACTAGAGAATTATAGACAAATTCACTAATGTCTTCGAAACTAATGGCTGATGCACTTCTTGAACTATATTCTTGATTTTGATTTTGCATTCGATCTAAAGTTCTTTTTCATTTATATCAACATTTTTGGCAAGTTGTTACTTGCTTTTCTCTTTCATTAATAAAATTTTCATAGCTTTGTCCAGTATGACATTGGCTGCAAGAGATTTTTTCATCCATTTTTTTTTATTATGCTAACAATAATTATTTTACATATGTTATTAATAATGAGAAATAATATCGATACAATTCAATAAACTTAATTTCATCATCATATGATTTTACAATGACATCAGCTAAATTTTTTTATGGGCGACACTAGGGTCATTCTATAACGTAGGCCGAATGCTTAATCATGTGATGTGATTACCATGAAGATATCACCTGGTTCCTTGATCTTCAAACTTCTCCATTTATCTTCGCAAAGTCATGTGACAACCTTGAATCAAAGATTGAATGAGGTAAGTGGTATCAAATTATTAATTTTTCTTAATACTATATATCACCTGCATTAATCTAACGATTTTATAGATTTATTTATTTAATGACTTTAAACTGTCAGAGAAGTGACATGTTGTACCAGTACAATGCTTAAATTTTTATCTAATTTTTGAACTGTTTATCTCTCGAAGTATACATCATAATATGACTATTTGGATTAATCGGATTTGATAGAATATGCTAACAATCCACTTATAACAATATTAAATATAAATCACTCTAGTCCTAGATCAATCTTGATAGCTTACTATTAAAAATAGCATAGAAAATGTTATTATATAGTGTTGGGTTTGGATGATTGTGACTCTGTCATTCTACAATTCAATATCTCATATAACGTATGATAAGTAACCTTTTTGAAAGAGGGTATTAGATTTGGCTGGTGGGTGATTAAGGCTTTCGGTTACTTTGAGTCAATGAATACAAGTAGGGTAAGTTATGTGAACAAGAACTTGTATGAACGATGATGGTTATTGGAGTTTACAGGATTTATGCCGGGTATAGTGTTAGGGTTTTTATTATAGATGATACAATGTATTGGGACTTGTTTATTGATCAAGCAAACGAGACATATCATCCCTTAGAGCCATTTTGGCCTTTATTTATAATACTAAATTCAGCACTTACAATGTGACTTTGCATTTATTATTTCTTAAAACTAATTAATCTATTTATATGTATTTATTTAGTATCTGTTATTTTCTCTCTTTATTTCTTATCTACCCCTTCGAATCCAAAATATCGTTTCTGATCTTAAATGTAACTTATTATACTTAATATTTATTGCACTTATTGCACTTATTGCATTTCATGCATTTTTCACATGATTGGTCACAATATTCAGTATTAAGATTCTGGTATTACAATAAAACAGCTTTGGATAATATAAAATTTCAATCTATCTAAATCCATTAGGAATAAAAATATTATATTTACTTTTGTTCTAGTTTTTAATGTAACTGAGTAATGAAGCTACTGTCATGTGGCAAATCAGTGAGTCTGTTGCTAATTCCTTTCAATTCTCATATAACCTATAGCAGCTAAGTCGAAATAGGCATGTTAGATTTGGCTAGATGGTTTATCTATAGATAAGTATTATTCTTTTCTTCTAAGTCTTTTCTTTAATCTATTCTTCTATTAACCTTGTCTTCTCTTGTCCTTTCTTTACTTCTTTAACCTGGAGTTACGAAATGTTGAATCAGAGTTGAAGTTCTTCTTGACTTGGTCATGTGATTTATGGCGAATGATCAAAATGCAGTTTAGTGATTTACAGATGAATGATAGTTGGATACAGTGGTTTTAATAATTGTTTTTAGTTTGGGTTAGATTATAGTTTACTTTTAATATGGGTCAGATACTTTAGTTTTATTTAAGCAAATGTATTACTTGAGGGTATTGCTTGTTTTTCCTTTTTTTCCCCTAGGTGGAAAGCTTTTTATTTATAATAAACTGTTTTGTCTATTTACATTATAGACTTGTCTAATATATCTAACATATCTAATTTATTATATATATCACATATATTACACTTATTTGATATATTAGATATATCTGACATATCTGACATTTCTGTTATTTAGAATCTATGCTATGTGATATCAGTCATGTTTTCAGACCTTACACTACCTTATTTTTATCAACTAAAAAAATAAATAGCTGTGTTATTAAATATCATATAAATATTAAAATTTCAAACTTATTATAATAGCTTATACTTAACCATCTCATAATAATTTATTTATGACAATTATTTAAATTTTTATATTGCTTATTGCTAAGTTATGCAATGTCACTTAGTTTTTTTTCACTTGAGCAACATATAAAGATAAGCATAATGATAAATATTTAATCTTCAGTTATCTGTTTTATATACAACAACCATAATATGCAATTTGTGTATTAATTACAAACATCAAATACTAATAGCAAAAAAATATCTAATTAGTAAAATAATTTCAGGCTTGAAAGGATTTTAAAATTTAATTAAAATATTTTGACACATTGTGGCATTATGGCATAAAAGAATTATGACAAAAAATACAGTACATGCTATTACTATATTAATTTACAAAACCAATTCTACTAACAACTATAGGTTAACTTCCAAAAATCCATTTTCTGAATACCCATTATACTGAAGTCATAATACCAAAAATCCATTTTGTTGTTACACCAAAAATCAATTAACTGATAAGTCTATTTCACTAACAGCTCATCTCACAGGGTTTTTTAAAAATTGCCAAAGCTTAACTCTAATTCTAAACCTGATCCTAATGCCAATAATCAGAACTACTTGGTCAGTAAATGACTGTTGATAAAATAAACTGTCAGTGAAATAAGCTTGTAGTTAATTGATATTGTTACTATCTTCAGGAGAGATCTAGAGATCATATCATTCAATTTAGCTTCAATAGTAAGTCAGAATAAAAAGTTGTTATGAATAGGGTAATATAGAACTAGCAGTATAGAGGCTTGTATACATAATTTATTAGGGATCAGGTAATTAATCAATTTAATTAATGGTTGTACTTATGTAATATTTTAATTAATTGAACTAATTAAATAATGTAACTAATGTAATTAATAAAAGAGGCATTTATTTAGTATCTTGTATAGCAATAATAAATTATAATACTTTGAAGTAATAAGGATTTTAACAACATTTTAAATATAATGATTATTAATTGGTTTTTATTAGATAAACAACAATAGTCTTATTAAAACACTTAAGAAATTGATTCTTGTATCCAACTATTTAAGACATCAAAGACTAATGATTTTATTAAAGGCTCACTTAAATATTTAACAACAATTAAAATTATGATAATCAAACTTTTAGATCATCAAAACAGTTAGTTTCATCTATTAACACTATTACTACTAAGTTTTCAGTGATTCAAGATTTCGCAACATAGCAAAAGTGACTAATATATGCTTTCAGTATGATTACACTAATTCAGATATAATCTTTGATAACAAAATAGTAGGACATATACTGATTCCATAATATTCTACAGACACATACCAATCACATGATGTTAATATAATAGCCTTTATACACATAATACAAGTTACACATATTACAATGAAAGGCTATTCTATTTAATAAGATATTATTTAAATTATTTTGTTAACAAATTTCTATATTTGTTATAAAAGAATTTAAATAATCAGGTTTGAGATTACTATGAAAGAAATTTTATTTATCTATAAATAATAAAAAAAATAAAGAAATTCTTTAAAAATGCTTTGCTCTTATAGTAAATTTTATAATAATAGATTTTCTTTTTATAAGTATCTATTGCTGTATTCTTTTTTACTTTTTTTAAAAAAATGATCAATTCTTGTAATGAATAGGTTTTTTATATTTTACTTTACTTTGAATAGGTTTTTTCACATTTTATTTTGCTTTGAACAAATTTTTTCTTAGTTACTTGCAATAGAAAAGACAGACACATTCAGTTTGAAATTTATAGTTATGAAGTGTTGTTTTCAGAATGTAAATAAAAACAATCAATATATTTCAATTTAAAGATACATTATCAAGCAAGAAGATAAGAAAAATATATTTGCTAAAATAATAAATAAGTTATTAAAAAGCATTAACAATAACATAGTTAAAAGATGACATAGACATCTAATAATTACTATTGCAGAAACCTGTTCTCTATTATGTTATAAATAACATATAGTTATATTCTTTTTTTCTTCCAAAAATAAATATATATAATAGGATTTTTAGTTACAAAGCTTATTATAAAAGGTTTTTTAAATATTTGTTCAAATTTTTTTAATTTTTTAACTGATATAGTAATAGCATAAAAATCATAATTGTCATATTCATCATTATAATTAACATTAACTAAGAAGTTATATAATTTTATATTATTTTTTTTTGGTATTAAGATGAGGTCTTGCTCATATCTTTATTAGTAATATTAGTTGTACATATTAATATACTATATACTAATATATTATATACTAAGATATACTAAAATTGTAAATTATAAAATAAAAATTATATGCAAGAATTAAAACTTAGACAGTTTTATCTGTGATCTAAACTAAATAATTTTATATTAATAACAATCAAAAAATCTTTAATTTTAATTATAATTTTTATTTATCTATTTGAAAAACTTTTTATATTAAAATCTTTATAAATAAACTACTAATTTCTTATATATTTTACAAATGTAACCCTTTTATTATTTTTTCTATTTTCAATATAATCAAACTAGTTTTTTATTTTATTGGATCATTTGTTTTTCTATTTAAATAATTTATTGTCTAATCTCTAATTCTCTTAATTATATATTTTCTTTTAATATGTTTATCAAATTTGTTTTTAATTTATACAAAAAAATTTTTATATTTAATATTTTAAAGTATAAAATTATATATATATATATTATTAATCTGTAGTTTTTCCTTTAATCATAGCAATAATAGAAGCTGTTTAATTATAATATGATGACTATAACTTAATAGATTCTATACAAAATTTACAGTAAGACTTAACAATATACAGAATAATTTGAAATTTTAAG